CTGGGCTGCAGGTCCACGTCCCCCTGGCCCTCAACGCCAGCCCTCGGCCGGGGGGGTCACTGCCGTCCGTGTTCGCCGCCGCTTCTCGCGCTCCGCCACGGTGAAGCTCAACGGGGCCAGCAGGATGGCTTTGCCCTCGGGGGGTCTGCCCTCCAAGGACCCTGCCGACCCCGCCATTCACTGATTCTGCAAAAGGATGCTCAAAAACGGAAAGGGACATTTTACTGACGTTTTCCGCCTTAAAAAGATGTGCACGGTATCCTTCTTGGTTTGCTCTTCCTGTAATCTAACTTACAATTGAATGTCAAGAGTCACTCCCTGCGCGGTTTTTAAAAATGAGAATCGATTGTCGGTCTCCCGTCAAAATCCCCCGCGCTTTTAAATGCAGTTAATCTCGAAATGTTAACTTTTCGTTCTTTAGATGCGCACGTTTAGAGACCAAATTTCCTTTTCTTTTCGTTCCAAAAAGAAAGTGCCACCAAGAACGACAAGATTAGCAGACTTGAGTGTTCCTCTGTGATCAAGTTCTATCATTGAGACCATAATAGTGCCCTGCTTTAGATTGGCCTTTTATTCCTTAATCGGGTAATTATTTCAAGATTCACGTGGATACATTTGAAGGTAACAACTGATATTATTAAAAATTCTTTTCCCTTTTTTTTTTCGCTTTTATGAACGTGTATTTCCCTTTCCAGGGGAAGTTTTAGTAGTTATTTTTTGTACTGCTTGTCCAGGACTCCTAGATTACAGTTTCCTAGGTAGAAACCTTGGTCATATGTTTTTAGGGCCTTGAACTGAGAGATACACAGGAGTACAATATGTTTATCAACAAATAGTTTGCTCAGGCCAATACTATAAATGTAAGCTTACAAAATCACTCTTCAAATGCAGTGTATTTTTATTTAGTTAACTAGCAGGTGGGCAATTGTTTTTCTTTACAAGGATCACAGTAAACAAGTTGGCCATGTTCTGCTCTTGGTTATTTAAGCTCTATTTCTCAACACATTCTCATATTGTGGAATAACCAAAATTTAATCTGAGTTTTATAACATGTTTGCCTTTAAGAAATGTAGGGAGGAGTTTCATTCTAACCAGTTTCTTCCTGACGCAACGGTTCACCCTGATTTACCAGTTTTGATAGCATTGTTAGCACAGAGAATACTGCAGTTCATCGCAGTTTTCTGACTGATTCATATCCTGGTGACTAGGGAAAATTACTTGAGGAAGTTGGTGTTACTCATAGTACTGATGATAAAAAAATAACTCTCCCATATTCATGCTTAGAAAAGACTCCTGTAGGTAGGTTCAGCCCTGAAGAGGAGAAAAGTCCAGGTAGATTGGATAAGACCACCAGGGCATGCACCAGAAAATGCTTATTTTCTGCTCGTATAGTTGTTTGAGTTAAAACCACAAAGTGGATAGAGTATATAGCTCAGTGGCAGAGTGCATGCCTAGCATGCATGAGGTCCTGGGTTCAATCCCCAGTACCTCCATTGAGTAAATAAGTAAGTAAGCCTAATTTTCCTCCCCCAACCCCTGCAAAAACAAAAGACCTGCAAGGGCCGTGGGTGCATTATTTCTGAAATAACAAAGTTCCTCTAGCAAAACAGGAAATCTCAGAAGGGAAAATGGTTGCCAAGCCGTGAACAGCATAACCAAAATGATCTTTTTACTGTCCCTCAGCATTTCAACATATTAGATTAAGGAATTAGAAATAGTTTAGATTAGAAGAAATTAAATAATTTTCTCTATTTTACTATATTTATGTGTGTGCAAAAAATGGATTCGTGATGCCTTCATAGGATGTTTTATAAAAATGTTTCTGGTCGATATTGGTACACTTAATCTCACTAATTTTTTATGTCTGATGTTTATTTCAGTTTGGGTTTAAGTTTGGCATTGTACTAACGTTAGAGAAATGGTTTGTTGAGTATATAGAGTGCTGGTGATGCATATATATTAACTATTAATTTAAGAGAACAGATTGTATTAGTAACCTGTTTGGTTAATCTCTTTTGCTTACATCTTAAATTTGATTTCAACCGTATGACTTGTCACCTTGACTTTTTAAAAAATTGTGATGAAATACACATAACATTAAATCTACCATCTTAACCATTTTTAAGTGTTTGATTCAACAGTGTTAAATATATTCATCTTGTTGTGCAACCAACCTCCAAAACTCATCATCTTGCAAAATTGATTGAAATGCATATTAACATTAAACAATTTTCCACTCCCACCAAACCTCCAGGCTCTGGCAAACAACATTCTATATCTGTCTCTATGAATTTGGCTATTCTTAGTAGCTCATAAAAGTGATGTCATATAGTATTTATCCTTTTCTGACTGGCTTATTTCACTCAGCATAATATTTTCAAGTTTCATCCATCCTATAGCATGTAGAATTTCCTTCCTTTTGAAGGCTAAATAATATTCCAGTGTAGTCATACACATTTTGTTCCTCAATGGACGCTCAAGCTGCTTCCACTTTTTTGGTTATTATTAATAATACTGCTGTGAACATGGTTGTACAAATATTTCTTTGAGTTCTTGCTTTCAGTTCTTTCAGACATATAGCCAGAAGTGGGATTGCT